TTTGCCCTCAAAGTCTGGAGGTAAGAGGCTGAGACGTGTCATGGTTTCTACAAGTTCTCAGTAGCGTAGCGAGGGGGGGCGGGGGGGGGGGGACATATGTCCCCGGGCGCCGAGCTGAGGGGGCGCCAAAATGGGTTGGAAAAATAGATTAAAAGGTTGAGGGGGGTGCAAATTGAAAGTTTGAGGGGGGGGGGTGCAAATGAAAATCTCGAGGGGGGGTGCAAATGAAAATCTCGAGGGGGGGGGGTTGCAAATCGAAAGTTGAGGGGGGTGCAAATCAAAATCTCGAGGGGGGGGGGTGCAAATCGAAAGTTTGAGGGGGGGTGCAAATCAAAATCTCGAGGTGGGGGGTGCAAATCGAAAAGTTTGTCCCCGGGCGCCGGGAAGGGTCGCTACGCCTCTGCAAGTTCTTGTAGATCTGGATGAATTGCATCCATAGCTTTAATGTCTAGCCTCAGTTTGTCCATAACAGTGATAAAAAGAGTGACAATGTCTGCACAGAGGCGTAGCGAGGGGGGGCGGGGGGTGCGGATCGCACCGGGTTACACCTTTTAGGGGGGTGACACCAAGGCAAAAAATAGCAAAATATATAGAGAAAAACTTGAGGGGGGGGGGTGCAAATCGAAAGTTTGAGAAGGGGGGTGCAAATCGAAAACTTGAAACTTGTCCCCGGGAAGGGCCGTTACGCCTCTGGGGGGGGGGTGACACCATTAAGTGCCGCACCGGGTGACACCCGACCTCGCTACGCCACTGGTCTGCTATACATTTACTTGTATTTCCTTTGTCATCTTTAATAGTAATAGGCCTGTCTTCTTTGATTCTCTCTAACGCTGCTGGGCAATCCAGCCTATACTTTTTCATGAACTCCTCTATTGTAGAAAAGTCACTGTGTACTTGTTTGAAAGCTGCTTTATACTGAACTAAAAGTTTGGAGCATGTAGCTGTGCACTCTTTAGCAAGGACGGTATCTCTAATGTAAGCTTTCTCCAAGCTCTGCAGTGTGTTTAATACGGCATACAAATCAATTTTTTATAAAGATTTAAATTTTTTTTTTTTTTTTTTTTTTTATAAACATTTAAAATAACACCATCAAAGCTAGACTAAACCATAGTAATTGATTATTACGATGCCACATTAAATATTAAAAAGTAGTTTGCAAATAGCTAACAGTTTTCTATTTAAATTAGAGTTCTTTTGTAGAAATGTGATCCAAAAAATATGAAGATTTTTGAATTATCAATAAGTGGTTTAATATTGTTAAACTTTGTTTGATTATATACAAAAATAATAATTATTGTTAAGTTTACATTTTCATTTTTTAATCTTTTTTTACGACTTTTGTAATATAGTTAGAGTTTATTTCCCTTGATTTAATTACACAAATAAACATCCAATAAAAGCCCATGTGCGCATTTCTGACTCTACCACTGTCTGCCATTTATTCTTCTGAAGCTATCAGATCAGTAGCCTATCTTCAGCAATATGTATAAAATAAAAGAAAATCTTACGTTGAAAAAAATATGGCGCTTGTTCTATATGTATAAACTTAGTTTTTTAAAAATCCACCATAATAAAAAAAATACAGATATATTCGAATGTAGAAACACACATTTAATTATTATTTAATTCAATGCTTTATAATATATAACTCTATAACAATAACAATATAACTATAACTATAACAATATATAATATATTATATGTATTTTAATTCTTTTAGGTTCTAACCATCAATAAACTGTTATTTTGCTTGTTTGTTTTCATATTTTTTTTTCTTCTGAGATTGCAGCTACATGCAACAGGAACTCTAGTATATATATATATATATATATATATATATATATATATATATATATATATATATATATATATATATATATATATATATATATATATATATATATATATATTTATGCAAAGGGAGGTAACGTTAATTAAAGTACTTAATAAAAGTAACAAAAACAAAATACAATGCTGACGTATCTTATATTATATTACGTATTTGTTTCTAAATTGTTATAAAAATACCTATAACATTGTTTTTAATTATTTAGTAAATTAATAATTTTTATTTAGAAACTAAATTTAAACTTTAAATTTAGTTAAATAAATAAAACAATACTTTGTCGACAAGACATGCTTATACATATATGAAATTAATTCGAATAATATGTGAGTTATTGCTTAGTTATAGTTATAATTTTGGCTTCCTTAAAGCAATTTAAGGAATAATAGGAAATGGTAAAATGTCAGAGTGCGTGGTCTATCGGTAGAGAGCCAAACTGCCAACCCGATAGTTTCGAGTTCGAATCAGGGATCGATATCAGTGGAACGTCCCTGAGTCCATCCAGCCCTGATGGGTACCTAACTTACGTAAGGGAAACCAAAGATGTTGTCCACACTGTCCGATCATACGCTGAGGTCTCTGAAGCAGATGAACTCTACTTCGTCTGCCCTTGTGTCTTGAACACGAACAGGAACTGATAGGTTTTTACATTTTATCCATTGTGAAATTTCAAATTCTTTTTGTTTCCCTAAATATAACGAACACTATGAAATTAAATGAGAAACTTTATCTTCGACGACTACACTACTTTTTGTTTAGAATTTTTGAAGTAATAATTTTTCGAGTAATACACTAGAAAAACAAGCTAGGAGAACGATCGGTTTGTAGGCGTTTATGTAATTTAAAAAAAAAATTGTGACCGAACGAAAGGATATTTTGAAAACTTTCTTCGGCAATATTGTTCTAAATTATGGCAGGAATCGATTGGTAAATATTTCAAGTCGATAAGTGGTCTGTTTGCCGAGATATGGGCCAAAAACTGCATTTTTTCGAGGTTTTTTGGCTTTTCCGGGAAATCCAGGAAGGAATTCCGGGAATTTTTTTGGCCCACAATCATCCTCGGAACTTGCTTAACATATTTGCTTTTGGAACTAGTCCTCGATATTGCTTCGTTGAGGAGGAGATACGACTTAAAGCTGCGCACATCCATCCATTCATCCATCCATCCAGAAATAACGAGTTAATAATCGCAATTGTCCAGTATGGAAATTGCGCTAAAAACCTTTACATTTTCAGTGAGTATCATTTACTAGGTATTGTATCCAGATTTGTTTCATACTACAGATCTCAAGGTGTCTGCCAATACATCTTTATTACCAAACTCTTGCCAACACATCTTTAGCAAAAAACTTGCCAATACATCTTTATCACAATACTCTTGCCAATACATCTTTAGCAAAAAACTTGCCAATAAATCTTTATCACAATACTCTTGCCAAGACATCTTTAGGAAAAAACATGCCAATACATCTTTATCCAAATATTCTTGCCAAGACATCTTTAGCAAAAAACTTGCCAATACATCTTTATCACAATACTCTTGCCAAGACATCTTTAGCAAAAAACTTGCCAATACATCTTTATCACAATACTCTTGCCAAGACATCTTTAGCAAAAAGAGTCGATTCTTAGAAACAGAGCACAAAACTGACCCACTCACACATCTCTAGCACAAAACAATGCATATTTACTAAATAAGTCGAACCTTTATATTTTTCTTCTTCGTTGTTAATTGTATTGTTAAAATGAATTCCCTCTAACACAATTTGTTATGCGCCTTATAGGCTGTTGGCTCCGATTTCAGCCTGCTTTTCTTTTTGAATTTGCTTCCATAGTCTTTGTCTAACCAAGAATAATTTACAAGGCAGCATTTACAATTTTTTTGAGTTATCTCACCTAGAATAGTTGCTGTCCCCAGCCATCGAGCCTTATCTGACTGGGGTTCGAACTCGACTCTTTTTTCGGTTTAGCAACGATGAACTTTACCAAATAGACACCACAGCAACCCCTAGTCGAACCTTAAAAAACATATATCTACCACAAAACTGGCCCTTTCAATTATCTCTATCAGAAAACTCGACCGCTCGAAACAAATTTTTACTTCAGATCTTAACCCCCGAAATTTTTTAGGCAGTTTGTAATCAATTACATGGTATGACGTGGTCGAATTTTAGAGAGTTCGACTTCCACAGAACGTAGATAGGGGAGGGCAGGTGGGGCGGTCGCCTCAGGCGCCGAACCTAGGGGGTGGGCGACGAACGGGTAGTAAAAATAAAAAATAAAAGCGTAATCTGAGCTTCATTAATGATGTATACAATAAAAGTTCTGAAAATAGTCTGCTACTTGGCTTTCTGGACGTTATAAAGTATTTTCAAAAAATATAAAGATATTGAAATGGGGGGGGGGGGGGGGGCGTGTAACTTTGATAGTTTGCCTCGGGTTCGCCACGTCTCTGGACTTCTAACCCCAAATTCTCGAGTTCCCCAAATTCTCGAGTTCCCCAAATTCTCGAGTTCCCCAAAATTCTCGAGTTCGTACACCATAAATATATATAAGTTAATAGAAACCGCTAAAAGAATTAATATAATATGACAGGAAACCACACGAAAGCCGCGTCAATACCGATGACCGCTGGTCATTCAGATGAAATAGCTACGGAAGTGTGGGTGGGGAAGCATATGGTGTAGCGGTCAGTATTACTCACATGGTGACAGTACAAATCATCGTTCTATCACTACAACCATATATTTTTATTACATGCTAACCCTTACTCCAGCACTGTCATAATTTCTGTGTCTAACAGTAAACACAACATGACAATCCTTCAACAACACGATTTCGACATTTTTTTTAATAAAAAGAGTAGGCCTACTTTGTTGGACGCTTATAGTTAGAATGGGTCTACGATAAATGCCCGAAAGACACATGCCCGAATGCTTTTTGCCCAGAGGCCGTTCTCATGAATTTGGGCATTTTAACCATTCGGGCAAGAGTCCATTCGGGCATTAGTCGCATTCGGGCAAGTGTCTATTCGGGCATTTGTCGCATTCGGGCAAGTGTCTATTCGGGCATTTGTCGCATGCGGGAAAGTGTTCATTCGGGCATTTGTCGCATTCGGGAAAGTGTCCATTCGGGCGTTTGTCGCATTCGGGAAAGTGTTCATTCGGGCATTTGTCGCATTCGGGAAAGTGTCCATTCGGGCGTTTGTCGCATTCGGGAAAGTGTTCATTCGGTCGTTTGTCGCATTCGGGCAATTGTCCATTCGGGCATTTGTCGCATTCGGGAAAGTGTTCATTCGGGCATTTGTCGCATTCGGGAAAGTGTCCATTCGGGCGTTTGTCGCATTCGGGAAAGTGTTCATTCGGGCATTTGTCGCATTCGGGAAAGTGTCCATTCGGGCGTTTGTCGCATTCGGGAAAGTGTTCATTCGGGCATTTGTCGCATTCGGGAAAGTGTCCATTCGGGCGTTTGTCGCATTCGGGAAAGTGTTCATTCGGTCGTTTGTCGCATTCGGGCAATTGTCCATTCGGGCATTTGTCGCATTCGGGAAAGTGTTCATTCGGGCATTTGTCGCATTCGGGAAAGTGTCTATTCGGGCGTTTGTCGCATTCGGGAAAGTGTTCATTCGGTCGTTTGTCGCATTCGGGCAATTGTCCATTCGGGCATTTGTCGCATTCGGGAAAGTGTTCATTCGGGCGTTTGTCGCATTCGGGAAAGTGTTCATTCGGGCGTTTGTCGCATTCGGGCAAGTGTTAATTTGGGAAAACGTCCGACTCCCAGTTTAAATATTTTTAAAAGGTTTAAAAACAATGACTTTCACTGCAAAAAAAAAAAAAAAACAAAAAATACAACTACTGTTTATTTTATCAACAAATAATTGATTAGCATAAGGTACTTACTCTTTTGGTTTACAATGACTGTAAACTCCGTAAAATATTCCGTGTAATTATCTGTACCCACACGAATTGTGAAATTACCGTAATCCTCTTTAGAGATGTTTGATAACGTTAAGTTAATGTTGTACTTAAACAATGACTTTCTAACAGGAAACCAATGGAAACATTTTCCTGAAACACACTGTTGATTGGTCAGCCATTGGTCAAGGTACGAGACGGCTAGGGGTATGGTGACGTTAGGGTTAGGGACCAGTACACAGAGGGTTAGGGTAGATGTTTCTCCTGGAGACATGTCCAGTGTGTTGGTTAGACTGTCATACCCACAAGCCCGTGGTTGACCTGTGGAGATATGGAAAACATGTGAGATTGATTGTTGTTTAATGTTGTAATGTTGTTTAAGAGCATGGGCTGGTGATAAAAACCAACATAACCAAAATGAGTTTTGTTGGTATATATGTTACGGTCAAAGCCCGAAGTGCGGCCAAACCCCGGATTGGCCGGCCAATGCGCGGATTGGCCGGCTCTCTTGGCCAAAGCCCGAAGAACTTAGAACTAAGATCGTATTTCGTACATTGGCCGGCCAATGCGCGCACTGGCCGGGACGTACTGGCCAAAGTCCGAAGTACTTAAACTTGACAGCTTATTTTGTACATTGGCCGGCCAATGCGCGCATTGGCCGCGATGTCCTGGCCAATGTTGTATCTAGACTAAGTTGTGATCGCGTTTTAATTATTCTGGGTGCGGTTTCATTGTGAGTAACGTATTGTTTAGCTCTTGTTTGTATAGCATTCTATATGCAAGGCGACATGGAGCAAAAGGGCCGCCAGACCATGAGACAGACATAGCAAATGGCTGTCAAAAGAAAAAAATGCAAATATCGAACCAACGTTTGACATGAAAACTATGTTTTTAGATCATTTGACTACAGTACTGCATGAAAAATCAAACAATAGCTTTATTCTCAGCAAAGACAAATACATTGCTATTATAGAGGACGTTAAACAGGCTAAAGCAAAGCAGACAAAAAAACTGTTGACTATCGTCGACTAAACAAATATGATGTTATTGAAGTTGACGGTAAAGAAAAACTTATTGTACCACTAACAGAAGACAATGGTGCTATTTAGTACTATGTGCACTCAGAAGAGTTGTTCGACTTGATCAATGAAACTCACTTGAAAATCGGACATGGAGGTCGCACAAGGATGGAAAAAGAGCTGAAGAGAAAGTACAAAAATATCACCAAAGAAATCATTACTATGTATCTTCGGTTGTGCAAGCCTTGTCAGAAAAAATTGTCTAATCCCAAGAAAGGTCTTGTTTCCAAACCTTTGATATTTAAAGAATTTAACTCAAGATGCCAAGTAGATCTTATTGATATGCAAAGTAACCCAGACGGCAAATACAAGTTTATACTCAGTTACCAGGATCATTTAACCAAGTTCATATTGTTGCGAGCTTTGGAAACAAAAAGAGCAGAAGAAGTTGCTTACCAGCTGCTGGATATCTTCACGACTGTTGGTGCCCCAAGTGTGCTTCAATCAGATAATGGAAGAGAATTTGTGAATCAAGTTATTTCTGAACTAAAGAACATGTGGCCTGAACTTAAACTAGTTCACGGAAAACCAAGGCATAGCCAAAGCCAAGGTTCAGTAGAACGTGCCAACCAAGATGTTCTAAACATGATGATGACATGGATGCGAACAAATGAATCAGCTCATTGGGCTGAGAGTCTCAAATTCATTCAATTTATGAAAAATCGTTCTTTTCATCAAGGAATCCAACAATCACCATACGAAGCCTTGTTTGGATGCAAAGCAAAATTGGGACTTAGCACTTCAAATCTACCAAGAGAGGCTCTCAATAAAATAGTTACTGAGGAAGATCTTGAGAACATTGAACAAGAAATGGAGGTTGCAATAAATGCAACTACATCCTCAGCTAACACATCTACTGCCGTGGCGGAACGTCCAGAAAAGTTGCGTGACAATAATGTGGCCAACAGATTCTGTATAGTTTGTGAAAAACATTGTAGTGCAGCTCAATCTTGTGGATCCTGTGGCAACGATGTCCATGCTATTTGTGGAATACCCAATGACGCAGACGAAGGGTACGGAGGGAACATTACCTGCAGATTATGTCACAACAAACAAGACATCATGGAACACAGGTCAGCAGCTCATACTGGCTTGCAAAATCAAGGTGCTAAGATGCTTAAAACATCAAATACAAAATTTAAAGATGGTGAAGTGGGTGACAATGTACGCATCCGTGTTCCAGATGTTGACAGAGGTCGCGGTGATCCCCGAAGCGTGATTGCGGTTGTCATGAGCGTCGAGGGCGGTTTTTACAAATTAGGAACGGAACATGGTGTTCTAAAACAACTGTATGCTAGAAGTGAGTTTTCAATTCTTCACGAAAAACTGCTCTTATTGTCGTCAGTTGGCACTGAGGAAAAATCACTACGAACCATCGCATCTTCACAATCATTGACTGGGGGCCAAGGCTACACTCGCTGCAATTGCACAACCAAGTGCACAACAAATCGCTGCAAGTGTAAAAATAACAAGCTGCTATGTAATTCTAAATGCCATAAAAGTTCAACTTGTTGTAACAAATGATAATATTGATTGATTGAGACTATAGTACAATAAAAAATTTGAATGTTTCTGTCATTTACTTTAATTAATAATCAATAAAGACTTAATTTCATGATCCTACCGGCATAAAAAAAAAACAAAAATCTGCTCATGATCTTCTAATTAAGACTTTGGCCGGTCCACCATGGCCAGTCCGCGGACTGGCCGGGACTGGCCGGCCAAAGGCCGAAATCAAGAGCTATTTCAGACTTTGGCCGGTCCACAATGGCCAGTCTGCGGATTGGCCGGCCAAAGGCCGAAATGAAGCAAAGTTTCGGACTTTGACCGACCTATGGGAGGCGATATTGGCCAATGCGCGGATTGGCCGGCCAATCCTAGCATTGGCCGACTTCGGGCTTTGACCGTAACATAGGTGTGATTAGCTCTTTGAGTCATAACTATATGCTAAAGATAGTTCCTATAGTATTAGGTTAAAAAATAAGCATTTTGGTTATTTTGGTTTTATTCAACTGTCAATGCCCTTAAATGTTTTATCGAAACAGTTAAGTTAAAAGTTGCATTGATCTAAAAATATTGGACAAAAGGAGAAAATGTGAGGTTGTATTGATGGGGTGTTGTACAGAGTTTCTTCCAGGCATCTCTTCGGGGGGGGGGGGGGGGCGGGACTCTGAAAGTCTACCGCCCCCCGAACGAAATGAAATTTATATAGAAAATATATACTTTTAACAGTGTCCGCCCCCCCCCCCCCCCCCCGGAGAAAGTCTACCACCCCCCCCCCCCCCGAAAATTTCAAGTGCCCCCTTCCCCAGGAGAAAAAAAATCTGGAAGTAACCCTGGCGTTTTCGTCTGCATTTCTAGCCAGCTTCCCTCCAAATCTGTCGTTGTCATCGCTTATAAATCGACGCTCAATGAATGTGTAGACATACAAATATATTTCAATTGTCAGGGAAGTAAATAATACTTTCTAAAAAAATTCTAATAGCGAACTCTATTAAAGTAAATATTACGATTTAATTAGAACTCACCTAAAGATAAAAATACGGAACTATCCCCCCCCCAAAAAAAAAACAATCAACAAAAAAGTAAAAAAAAATAACCACCCCCCGCCCCTCCAACCCCCCCCCCCCCCCCCCAAAAAAAAAAAACAACAAAAAACCAAGTAAGTAACAGTTTGAGTATATCATACACTTTTACACGGGGTATATTTTAAGTTAGACAATGAAAAGTGTAAAACAGTTGTTTCAATTTGTCCTGATATCTTTTGTCCGTGAGATTATATATCCTTGAGATCATTTGGCCGTCAGATATTTTGTCAGGGAACCGCTTCAACAGTCTCATATTTATAACCTATCACAGCTTTCACTAAAAAAAAGTAAACATTGAAGAGAGAACTCACATCTCGATACGCCAACATTAAACACTTCCTTTTCCACCTGTTGTCTTTTGTTTGTCTTCAGACAAACATAAGTCCCAGAGTTCTCGCAGAGCATGGGGTTAAAGGTTATAGTTAGCACTGCCGATCTGTCTGTCGAGTTTAAAATTTCGTTTTCCCGTTGTATTATTATTTGCTCATCGCCCGCACTGAGGCACTCTAATGTCAATGAACTTGTGTTAGTGTAGGTTTCAATCTTGGTTGTAGAGCTATCTTGAAACGGCATTATGAGATCTAATATAGTTTTAGAAAAAGAAATGTAAATGTTAACTTGGATAAAACAAAATCAACCAAGTGACAATCCAAATAGAAAAGTGTGTTAAAATTGGAGTAAGCTGCCTAAATGGCGCAAAACCAGTTGACTCGTAATCAGTGTTTCTTCTAGACTTTTTTCTCCGGGGTAGATGGGGGGGGGGGGACTTGAAATTTTCGGGGGGGGGGGGCGGTAGACTTTCTCCAGGGGGGGGGGCGGACACTGTTAAAAGTATATATTTTCTATATAAATTATATAAATTTCATTTCGTTCGGGGGGGGGGGGGGGGGGGGCGGTAGAATTTTTTCGGGGGGGGGGGGGGGGGGGCAAAGAGATGCCTGGAAGAAACTCTGCTCGTAATACCTAATTGTGTTAGAGGGATTTCCTTCCACCGCTATTATTGAGACCGGAAGATGAAGAAAAGAACCAATAGAAAAACTGATGAATATTTTCAGCATTGATTGTAATAATAGAACTCGGCTAATATTAAAATTAAGAAACAAAGTTAATAATAAATTTGCTTTAAACAACCAATATATCTACGACTAATGACGGTAACACAATAGCGCATTTTTTTTGTTTAATGTCACCATTTATCCCCTAATTTTTCATTATTTTAACTAGCAGAAACATTGTTTTGAGTGTAAATTTGACAGGTTTTCGTATTGGTGTCACCCCTAAAGGTGTCACCCTGTGCGGAATGCACCACTAACCCTCACCCGTCATAGGAAGCTACTACCTACCATGGATATTTGCGTTAATTGAAATAGAAACAAGTCTTTATAAGATGGGGTTTCAGTTCAGCAGAAACAAAAGATGGAGATATTTTTTAAAAAGTGTGATTCTATACTAGTCTGTAGTGAAACGAAACTATAACTCATTGCTCCATTGCATAACTTATCGCTTTTAAGTAAGATAATTTAAAAAAAAAAAGTATTTTTTGTTTATTTCGAGCGATAAATAGCACAGTAATAAAATAGTATATTTCGAATATAAAGGCTTATAGGCCTAAACTGTCATGCATAGGCAAAAATTATATACATAAATTATGTATATATATATATATGTATATATATATATGTATATACATATATATATATATATATATATATATATATATATATATATATATATATATATATACATGTTCATATATATATATATATATACTTTATATGTTAACATAAACAAAATGATTGTAAAAGTATACCTTCAGCAGATGCAACTAAACAAAAGCAAATGGTGTGTACAAGAACTATTTGTAATACATCCATGTTGAAAGCCTTTAGTCCATGTACACAAAAATACACAGACAAATAAACACACCATACACCTTTCATATAAAATGTGTTCTAATTCACACTACGAAAGTTAGCCCATATAATGCTAAAAACTTTTTGTATCCAAATGAATTTTAAACAAATAATTAATTTTAATAAATAGATAAATATAATCTTCTAGACAACGCAATTTTCTCTTATTCTAGGCATAATTTTAACCATTGTTGATGAACATTAAACGCAATGGTGCATTTTCCTGAATGACAATACAATAAAATTCCTTCAACTCAGGTTGGATATAAATACCATGATTAACGCCTGTTTATATATAAACTCACATGATGCACTGACATAATTGTTATCTATATTAAGTATCTCGAGTGAGTTATTAAACTCATTTAGCAGCTGGGCATGGGCAATTCGTGAGGGGTCACGTGTTAATGCTAATTACGTCGATAACTAAAGCAACCGGAAGTAAATAATTGCAGCGATGAAATATTTTATGCAGTAGTCATTAAAGGCGTATCCGTTTACTGATCACATTGTGTATAATGGTATAGGTCTACACTGAAGTATATGTAACCTTGATAAAACGTTTACTTAGAATGGATTGTGTTCTACTTAGTTATTGATCTACTTGGTTTAAATAAGTATAGTCCCTACACTGTAGTATAAATATATGACGAATATTTTTAGTATTTCATAGAACTACTCCATGTGTATAAGTAGGCCTATGCATACGAGTGCAGTTATTTGAAAGCTATTTATATGTTTCAATTAGCTCACACAGACATAAATAGAGATCCGGATGTACTCGTGGTGCGTGTCAGCATATGACGCACTTTTGTGCAGCTAACTCTAGCTTAAGTTGAAGGTTGAGATAATTGTGTGCAGCTGGACAGGGTGGGGGAGGGAGAGGGTGGGGGAGTGGATGTAACACAAAGAATTCTAAACATAGAAAAAATCAACCATTGATTACTTTTTCTGAGCCTGCGTACAATACAGACACCAAAGCTGTTGACGCAATTTTGGTATTTTGAATTTTATCTCTTCGCCTGGACCGCTGCATATTTGATACTTTGTAATGTAACTATGTTATGTTAACACAAGTATATTAAAAGTAAAGTTCCCTTTCAAACCTGACAGTCTATGGGGCAAGTGAAGTAGAGTTCACTTGTTTCTGTGGCCTCGGCATATGAAGAGATAGTATGGTCAGCACTATGCCCAGCCGCCTTTACTTTCACTAACGTGAGTTAGGTACCCATCAGAGTTGGGTGGACTCAGGGACGGTCTACTAACTTGAACCCGCATTCGAACTCGAAACTTACGGGTTAGTAGTCACGACCACTAGACCACTCCGCCCCCGCTAGTCTATTAAGCTTTCAATTTTTTTTAGTTCTTACAACTTTCTTCTCATTGATTATTATTTTAAATTAAATGTTGCATCATAACAACATTAACTAAATTCAAGATAAAAAGGAAAAAAAATAAGAATAAAAGGAACTGTTGAAAATTGGTTTATTGAATATTTGAGTTAAACATTGGATAGTCTTTATCTTAATAATCAGTGGGCAGACAAGCGTTAACACATAAATATTTTTAAAATTACCAAACAATCCAATAATAAAAAAAAAGTATTTCTTATTGTTTGCTTAGGCACGTAACGCAAATAATCAATGTGTTAATCGATTATTATCTTTTTATTAAAATTGTTTAACCTTTGATATACTATTGAACTGTTATAGAAATAACGCTGTAGCTGTAACATATAGCTCACTCAGGAATAAATACATTATTAAGAAAATCTGGTTCAATGATAAAAAGACCCGCAACACATTTTTAATAAACAAAGTGAGGGACCTCTGCTTTAAATAATAATAACAATATATATTCGACTACTTGTGTTATCTTCTACTTCTTCTTCGTTCTTAATTATTAGTGTTGAACGAGATTTATCTGCCAGTGGGTTTGAACTCGAGACTTTTTCGAATTTATCAAATATGAGCTTTTTGCCGACTCGACCACGCCTCCAACACAATTAAGGATACGTGTCAACTGGTTATGCGCTATTGAGGCCATTGACTCCGCTTTCAGCCTGCTTTTCTTTTTGGAAAGCTAACGGGCCTCATCTGCCCGAGGGTTATCGAAATGATAACTATCGGTAGAAAAACATCCATTCGCAAGTGTTCAATCGTCTTCCCAACTCAAAAGTAAATTGAAATTTTGCGCGATTAAAATAGGCTCATATCTTTAATTCTACCTTAGTTTGTTTTAGGCTATGTAGTTTGGGCTCCAAACTCACACGCAAAAACATTTTTTGTTAAGGTACGCGCAGTGACAACGTTTCAAAAATACCGATCTAGAATGTATTTTTTAACGAACGCAAACTAATAATGTGACTTGTTTTAACTTGTCTATTAGTTGCCAGCCACGCCTGCCCACAATTCAGATAAAAACATTAACACTCAATCGGGATGAGTTACATATAGGCTTCGTAGAGCAACCCGGATGTGGTACTTGTGAGTCGTGATGTGACTCAGCTAGATAAAAACAATAGAGTTGTGGGGTTTGACTTCCCCCCTGTGTGAAAACACATCATGTACTGTAATCTAGTCTGGTGTAAACTCATTCTTTCTATAGCTTAGTAGGCTACCAGGTCACAGCACAGAAATTGTAGGAAATAGAACAGTATTTTAGAGAAAATACATTATTATTTTGCAGATGTATCGATTCATGAGACAAAGACACGTACATATATTTGCGAATATATATACACACACTTACATACACACACACACACACACACACACACACATATATATATATATATATATATATATATATATATATATATATATATATATATATATATATATATATTTTTTTTTTTTTTTTTTTAATTTATTATAAACATACACGTTCACCTATATAATCGTGCCTTTTAGTTAATATTCTAAGCAACAAAAAACCATATTAGTCAGAAATTGAAACAATTTAAAAATTAGATTCTGTTCTACACATTAACTGCCATATGACACTATTTATATCCTACACTATATCTGCACAGACACTTTTATATCCTACAATATATCCGCAATTAGACTATGTTATATTTTACACTATATCTGCACTTAGACAATGTTATATCCTACACTATAACTACAATTTGACAATGTTATATCATAAACTATAACTGCGCTGTGACAATGTTATATCCAACACTATATCAGTACTTATACAATGTTATATCCTACTATAACTGTCTTAAGATATGTGTTATGTAAATAAATATACAATTCTCAAGATACTATTATAATAATACTATTTAATATAACTACCTCAAGAAACTTTATGTCAATACTTATAACTGATTCAAAACATTATTGTGCTTATCAAAAACATTATTATAAACATGCTCATCCTCTTCAACGATCTCAGTTTGTCCAGTTTTTGCAAAATCCAGCGTTACATATTCCACCACGTCGTCAACCTGACAAGTGCTGTCTTTAGCTGACCCTCGGCTACTGGCGATAGGTCGTGGTGCCACTTGAGCCAGTTCCAGATAAATAAGTCCATCATCGGACATATAGTAATCTGTGTCCTGAAAAATAGAATATTTACAGTACTCCTGCTAGAAGTTACCCTCATCTGGTATCCGCAAGACAGGAGGAGGAGAGGCAGACCAAGAAAGAC